TCCTGCTTACAGTTCTTGGCGTCATGTCCTTTTCCCCTGTACACGGCACAGATTTTTGTTGTGCAGTGTCCTTCCCAAAACTTACTTTTTTTTAAAGAAATTTTTTGTGTTCCAAGCCAAATCAGCCAAATCAAGTCCAAATCTGAGAGTCGGTCCAGAACCATAAGTGGCCCTACAACCAGCAAACATCCTCCATCCCCACCAGGGGCTTCAGATATTTCCAAACTCTTTTGGCGGACATCCTATGTGCAGGCCCAAGCCCAGAGTTAGGATGCCCCCAAGTTTTGCCTGCCCTCAGCCATGTGGCTGCAGGAGCAAGCTAGGGAGGAGCCTCCCATTTTCATAAAGTGGGCTTTAAGCCCCAGCACCTTGGCAGGTACTAAACCACGTCAGAAAAACAGTTATCCCTGGGAACACTTAAGGAAAACTGCCTTCATGGACCCAGATACATGACATTTCCCCCAAAACAATAAATTAATGCAGCCCATCTGAATAAGATGTGTGGTTGTGTGCATTTAGCAGTCCCCCTCTCTGCTGACTTTTTTTAAGGCATGGTGAGTCACAATATTTCATATATTTTGACTTCCTGTGCCTTTCTTTCGTATTTCCAATGATTTCCGTTTCTTCATTAACCTTAAATGCCTGGCAAACATCACCAAATAGAACCCCAAATAGTTTACCCAAAATCCCTGTGTTGCCCCGTCTCTCAGCCTGTTGCATATTATTAGTGTGGCTCCACTATTCATGAGATGAAGCTGGACCAGGTTGTTCTGTGCCTCATCTGCATATACATTTTTGAAGGATCCTATAATTCATGACAAGAACACCTGGTTCCAGTCATGACTGGGGGCTAATTAGCACATGGCCTCTTGGCTGGGGTGGGGGTGGGAAATCCCTGCTCAGCTGAATGCTCGCTGGTAGCTCCCCCAGTGGTGGGACAGCTTCTGGGCAGCCCCTGGCTGAGCTGGGAAGGAAAAGCTTCCCAGTCCTGGCACTGGTCAGTTCCCTGCTCCTGTGGGGAACTGGTAAGCGGGGTGGGGGTGGTGAAAGAGGGACCTGGTCCCCATGCTGATTGGCTCCTGGTGGGGGAAGCTAGAAGCTGAGCAGCACCAGGACTGGGCCCCCTGCTTATGTGGCAGACTGGGAGCAAATTTGCTCCTGGTCAGCATCTACACAAGCCCTACTATGCAGTGTCTACTGAATAGTTAGTTTAGTTAGTATTTACAGGTACTAGCCAACTGTGCAGTAGACTAATTTACTGTACAGTAGTTTATGAGCATAGTTACTTAGTGACACTTTACTGCACAGTAGCTAAATTTACTGTGCAGTAAAGCATCTCATGTAGATGCACCCAGTTTGTACTACATATAAGTAGGTGCCAAAAGGTTCCTCAAAAGCATGTTTATGGAGTACCTGTTTTAAAACTTGCAGCAGTTTTGATAAAAGGTAAAGTGCATCAATTCTGGATAAACTAAATACAGGGGGCTATGGGTACTATATGCACATTCCTACAGTCATGTTTAATTTCAAGGACAGTGTTTTCAAATTTGCTCCTCACTCCCATGTACTTGGGGATATCAGGGTCTGACAATAAAGAGTTGGGAAGGGGCTGCCAAAGGAAAAAGTTGTGGGGGAAGCAGAGAGCACAGGGGATACCTAACCTTCCCAAAATTATTTTCCCTGCTATACAAGTGGGAGGGGGACAAACTCAAGGCAAGCCTCCAATAATTAAAGATTGTATACCTGAAAAATTATAAGGCAGACAAGGTTCCTTGGGTGAATTTGATATCTTTTATTAGACCAACCCAAATGGTTGGAGAATAGTTATTAAGCAAGCTTTTGGGTTCAAAAACCCTTCTTCAGGCTCAGGAAGCTGCAGCAAGTTGGTGTGTGCTCTTCCTGGATTCCTGAGCCTGACGAAGGGTTTTTGAACCCGAAAGCTTGCTTAATAACTATTCTCCAACCATTTGGGTTGGTCTAATAAAAGATATCAAATTCACCCAAGGAACCTTGTCTGCCTATATCCTTAGACCAACACGGCTACAACCTAAACCCCTGAAAAATTATAACACATTTCTATATTTTCCATATATAGAATCTAATTATTGGAGGGTTGTCTTATCAGAGTCATTTCTATTTGAGTAAATCCAGTATTTCCTGCTCTTTTTGTGGGGAGGAATCACTTGGGTGATAAAGGTATATTCAACAAGCTATGTCTGGAGTCCTGGTGAGTATATACTGAAAAGTGAATAGCCAGATTATGGCTTTTTTTGTAAGACACATTCACAGTTAAGACTTCCAAGAACATTCCAAGTAGGAAAGCTTTTTGTCTTTTCAGTTATAATACCTTTTTATATATAGGGAACCATCCCTATAGTTAAAATTGTTCATTTTTAATACAGGAAAGCCAATAGTGTTAATTCAAAGGGCAAAGATGACTTCAGGAATGGTGTAGAGTGTGTTGCCCAACCTTTGAGCCCTGTGGGCTGGATGAGTGGTGCAGAATTGATCCACTGGCCAGACCTAGCCTGCGGGCCTGATCCAGAATGCCAGATTGGGCCTTGGCTCTTGCCTGCGCCTGTACGTTGGCTCAGGACGTCAGATCACATTGCATCTGTGGCTCTGGCTCCACATTCATGTGGCCCACAGGGCTTAGAAATTTGGTGGTGGGGGAGTAGTGGCAGCCAATTTTCTGGATTTGGGGAGTCCCATTGGCCAGATCTTGCCAGTGGGTCAGAGGTTGAGCAATACTGTAAAAGGGCAAGGCATTTTTTATTTGGATAACACAAGTGCATTATTTATGACTGTATGGATGTCTCACTTACATTTATCTTCAACAGGAATTTTAAGATTAAATCACCCAATGATAGTATCTGTAATATATTATGTTAAAGATTTGTTTGGAAAAGAATAAAAAATTGTTGGAGGACAAATGATATCCCTACCTCTTTCTACCACTTCCCTCTCCCTTCCCCACCCCACCCCAGTTTGTTTACAGGACAATAATTGAAATACAAATTTATGTAGATACTATTATCTGCCAATGAATGATCTGCTTGTTGGCTCTGGTACTACCAAGAATTTTCAGTTTAACATATGAAGTCATGGTATCTGACAAAAAAAACATACTTTTCAGAGGTACCTATCACCCTCTGTTCCAGCTAATAGAAGCCATAATTGGACATCACAATTAAATCAATGCCTAATTGTCTAAATATGATATGTGATAGGATATCGAGGTTTAGACTTCTGATATAACAAGATATTTTTTTTTACCTAGTTTCAAAAAATGATAATACTCCATGGCCATGAAGACTGGATAAGAGGCATTGAATGGACAGTCTGTGGTTAGTATTAAAGTCCATTAAATTATTTAATGGGTCAAATTACTGAAGATTAGAGGAAAGAAACTATCTTTTGCATATCTATTTTTAAACCCACTCATTTGCTAGTTCTTGATTTGTGGTCCAGTGGAAAGCTAATATCGCTTCATGACTTAGGTGGAGGTATATTTTAGTGCTAGTAGTGCCGTTTTGCTCCAGGAATTGACGACTCAGATACTCTGCTGCTTCTGTAACGCTCCGAATTTTGGATGGTATCTGTAATTTCTGTCTGTCATTCTATAGAATGAAATTTCTTGGACTAAACAAAATATAATCCAAGATGATTCCATTTCTGTATTATCTCAGCTAGCCAGGATACAGTGATCCCTGAGCTCCTAATGGCAATACCACTACAGTGTGATTGTTATATAAAAATCCTGCAATCTGAATGCAGTAGAACTGGTTGAGAAACAGCCAAACTGCAAACCTGTACTGTATGCAAATCCCTCTTTTGTGATTGTCTTTGTATTCATCACTTTAGCCTGCCCTGCCCTGCCCTGCCTGCTTTTTAATGTGGCTATCTTAAGGGTATCTGAACTAAAATATAATTGCATCAGCAATTTACCCTTCACAAACACGCTATTCCTTGTTTCTGAGGATGAGTTGGACCCAATTTAAGTAGTTTTTAAGAATAGGTTATTTTTAGGAGTTCTCACTCTTCCTCTCAGCCTCTTGTAAGAGCAGCACAGTTCATGGGGAGAGGCTTTTAGCTTTTAAGTAAACTGTCACAAAAAGTACTTATTTGGTGGTGAAGACAAAAAAATGGAACGAAGCTTCAAGGGAGAAATGACAACTATGAATAAAAAGAGGAAAGAAGATTTTTAAAATATGTTAATTAAAGATGCTCTTTGTTGGATTCTTTTTCCTAAACCTCATGGAGGTAGACAGGGCTAGATACAGGAGGAGAAGCAAATATATCTGAGATTTTGGGATATTCTTTTTGTAATCACTATATCCTAAGCTCCAAGGCTGAGGCTTAAATTTAAATATTTGCATATCCAAGGATATCGCTATTGCTTTATAATGGGGAAATGCTCATGATTCAACATGTTTTAAGTATGCTAAGTTTGTGGACTAGAACTTGTAATGTGATGAGTTAATATTAGAATGAAGATGGACATCAATGTTCATTGAGCTGCGTCTATATGGGGAAAAGATAAGATTATATATAGTGTCTTTGAAGAGATAAAAGACTTGGTCTTTTATGTATTTGCTATTGGTCCAAATAGAAAGAGCTATGATTTATCTGTTTTTTATGGGATTTTATTCATTTTTTTTAAACAGGTGAAGATCTTTTCTTAGCAAGCTGTGCTCAGGACTGTTTGATAAGAATTTGGAAAGTGCATGCAAAATCAATGCAGTCTTTGAAAATCAATGATGATGACTCTATAAGGCTGAAGGAGGACATTTTTACTGTTAAAAATAAAAGTAGGTAATAGCTGAAATGCTCTTTGTACCTATTCTCTCTTTCAGCTAGTGTTGATATTGATGCTTTAACCTTAGTAGGGCTAATGAGAATTTGTCCAGGTATAAGTTGTTGTTTTTGTGCTAGAGGAATTTAGGAGCAATTAAGTTATAGTAAATTGGGGAAACTTAATAGCAACCTCATTCAATTACAAATAACATATTTACTTGAATATAAGAGAAGGTTCCCCCCTCCCCCCCAGTCAACATAGGGGGAAAGCCCTTCATCTTGCATTCATACACAAGGAAACCATATTAAATATATTGCCTGCCTTTGAACTGCTGCTGAAAGTAGCATGTGCCCAGTAATGGAAACCAGCTATGAAGTGGATTAAATACAGCTAGCACTGAGCATGGCTATAAAGCACCTGGCCCATATGGGGGTGACATGCTGATGGGGAACTTTTTCTTTTTTTTTTTTTTTTTTTTATTAAACTCAACATTTTATTTTAAAAAATCCAAAACATCCTATACATATTTACAAATATCAAACATATCATTCAACAAAGCCTCATAGCATATTAACTCTTTTTCATCTCTTAACAGTTTACAATAACAACATTATCTCGTCTCACAATTATCCCCCTTCCTACCCTACCCTCTTTCTCCCTTACTGTCTCAGGCACTCCTCAAGCGAATACATATTTCCATTTATCTTTCCTCCACATCTCCTCTCTCATACTCTCCTTTTCCTCCTTCTCATCCCTTTGCATGTAATATTTGAACTCAGACAGGGCTAGCTGCAAACATTCCTTCATAGTAAAATCCATTCCCTTTGCGATCAGCAGGGATCCAGGTTTTCCCTGATATCTTTCATAAAAAAACAAAAATCTGTGATTAAAATTAAAGCCCCCCCACTCACCCCCCCAGCTCTGCTTGTGCCTTTCACTCCTGCTCACAGCCTTCCTGGTGCCCCTTGCTGCTCACCCACAGCCCCTGCTCCGCCAGCCCTGCAGGAGAAAGCCCCCAGCTGCCAGGGTTATGGACCCGGGTCCACAACTCCCTGCCCCTGCTCCCTCCTGCTGCCTGCTGTGGGGGGGCTGCTGGCTCCCTGCTGCTGTGCACACTCCTAAGGGGGGCAGGGGGGACCTCGCAGGGCAGGGGGGACTCCCTAGGGAAGCAGTGCAGAGCTTGCAGCAGCAAGCAGCTTCTTTGCTGTGTCCTGGTGCCCTGCTTACCACACCTGGGGCCTCCACAGCCCAGCGGGCATGATCTAGTGCAGCAGGGAGCACTAGAGCTGAATGGAGAAGTTGCTAACCACTGTGAGCTCCGTGCTGCCCTGGTAATGTGCCTCTGCGTGGGGCTGCAGCGAGGGCAGTGGTGCAGGGTTGTACTCCTCAAAGCAACAGCCAGGCCAGTGCGGAACTCGCAGTGGCAAGCAGCTTCGTGCAGCTTCACTCTTTCATGCCTAG